CTACTCAGATCAACCCGGTTTCGTGCTTGTTACACAGTCGCTGAATGGAGAAAACAACAATTCCTAGAGTCGTGTCATGTTGATGGCTCTCAACATAAAAAATAAAGAAGGTTTTGTCAACGGCACCATCAAAGAACCACCAGAGATGTCCACCGCAGAACTTCAACAATGGAGGCGCTGCAACAACCTTGTCAAGACATGGTTGTTTAATTCAATTGCAAAAGACATTGGAGCAAGTATAATATACAACGAGAGTGCCCATGAAATCTGGCTCGATTTTTCTCGTACCAACAACGTTCATATTTTCCATGTCGAAGAAGCCATCATGATTGCAAGTAAGGCGATATGACAGTTGGAGCTTATTACACCAAGCTCAAAGGCCTATGGGACGAACGTAACGCCCTCCATAACATTCCTAAATGCACATGTGGTGTCATGAAGGAAGTGATGCAGTTTCAGCAAAACCAGAAAACCATGAAATTCCTCATGGGACTTAATGAAACATGCACTAGTATAAGAGGACAAATTTTGCTCATGGATCCCCTTTCCAATGTCAGCAAGGCACATTCTCTCGTGTTCCAAGAGGAAAAGCAGCGCGGCATGAACAATGTAAATACGCCGTAGCCGAAAGCTTCAGCTTTTGCCGTGAAGAATAATGCACGAAAACCAGAGAATGTTTTCACGCAAAAAAAATCATCATTTAAAGTGTGTAAAATGTAACAAAATTGGGCATACCTCAGACACGTGTCGAGCACATCTCAAATGCGATTATTGTGGATGACAGGGATGCACCATCAATGACTGTAGGAAGCTGTAAAGGACTAATCCAACGAGCAATGAATCTGAACGAAAAAAATTTGCTCCCAAAGCCAACCATACGGATACCAATACATCGACGAGTCCCGACGAGTCCTGCACCATTCTTCACCCTTACAACCGAACAATATCAAAGCCTCATATCACAACTTGCAGAGAACAAATCTAACTAGATGGCTAATCATGTTGGCAGTACATCAACCATGAGTGATATCTCAGGTAAAATCTTTTGTGCCTCTATTTTTGACAAAGAAATAAACTGGATTCTTGCACAGGAGCCGCGGATCACATGGTATATTCAGCCAACTTACTACAAAATCCAGTGTCATCAATCAAAAAGTTCACTTGTCTAACGGGGCTACTACAACTGTCTCACACATAGGCAACATCTATTTTGCTGACTTTATTCTACAAAATATTTTATGTGTCCCCTCCTTTAAATTAAATCTAATTTCCATTAGCAAATTTGTGTTTGATTCACAATGTCTTGTCATTTTTAATAACTACACTTGTGTGCTACAGGACCAACAATCGAGGAAGATGATTGGGATGGAAACTAAAAGATGATGACTCTACTACCTTGATACTCCACAAAAGAGCAAGTACAATGTTGCTATTTCACCATCCCCAAATCTCTGACATAAACGTTTAGGTCACCCATCAAATAAAGTTTCCAACTTGTTTCCTTTTCCAATTATAGACAAGAAAATTTGTAATGTTTTTGATTGTTTAATTTGTCCATTGACTAAGCAAACTCGTTTATCTTTTCAAACAAGTTTCATTAGCTTAAAAACATCTTTTGAATTAATTCATGTTGACATTTGGGGAGGATATCGAGTTTCTTCAATCACATGAGCGCGGTATTTTCTCACAATTTTTTATGATTATACTTGATGCACATGGACTTATTTGATGAACCATAATCAAATACACATTCATACATCATCAAGTTCATAAACCTCGTTGAAACACAATTCAATCTAATAGTCAAAATCATTCGAAGTGATAATGGTCCTGAATTCATATTGAGGAATATTGAATTGAGGAATCTCTATCTCGACAAAGGCATCATTCACCGATTAAGTTGTGTCTCCACTCCGTAACAAAATGGTGTAGCCAAAAGAAAGCATCGTCACTTACTCAACATAGCCCGAGCCATATTGTTTCAAGCTAATTTACCCAAATAATTTTGGGGAGATGCAATCCTAACTACCACCTACCTAATCAACCGAACACCAACACCCCTTCCCTAAGGAAACTCCTTTTAAAATGCTCTTCCAAACAAAACCCACATATGGTCATTTGCGCGTGTTTAGGTGTCTTTGTTTTGCCTCAACACATCATCAGCGACCAAACAAGTTTGATCCCAGAGCCATTCAATTTCTTTTCTTAGGGTATCCATACGTGCAAAAGGGATATAGAGTCTATGACCTTTCAACTGGGAAGGTTTTTGTATCACGAGATGTTAGTTTCCATGAAAACATTTTTTGTTCCCCTTCTTTCGCTACAGATAAGGGCTCAATTCTGTACTTCACCACTCACATCGACATGCCTTCATTCGATGAATTACCTCAAGAAAATATTTCATCTTCTCAAGACAACAAAATCCCCTCTCAAGAGACTACTTCACCTTCAAATTTATTCTCAGAACAACCTAACAATCTCAGAACAACCTACAACTCTAGACCAACAAATACCATCATCACGACCAATAAGAACAACAAAAACGTCTAGCTATTTGCGCGAGTATCATGTTGGTATTTTTATTCCCTCAAGACACCCCCCAACATCGAACTCTGTGTTGGCCAAAACCACAGGTACCTTCTATCCATTAACTGACGACTTGTCATATGTTAGATTGTCACCTAAACATCGTGCTTTTACCACCGCCCTTTCAATTGAAAAAAAGAGTCAAGCACCTTTGTAGAAGCCGCTCGTAATCCAAAGTGACAGGTTGTTATGCAAGAAGAACTTGATGCACTCGATGTCAATGACACATGGTCCCTTGCACCATTACCGCCTGGAAAGTGGCCAATTGAATGCAAATGAGTATACAAAATCAAACTTAGTGCAGATGGGACTGTTGAACGCTACAAGGCGAGATTAGTGGCAAAAGGGTATAATCAAATTGAAGGGCTAGATTACCAGGAAGGAATACCAGGAAACCTTTGTCCCGGTTGCAAAGCTTGTAACTGTTCGTCTACTTCTTGCGTTAGCTTCAACCAAGCAATGACATATTCACCAACTAGATGTCAACAATGTTTTCTAGCATGGGGATCTCGACGAAGACGTATATATGTCACTACCTCCTGACCTCGGACGAAAGGTGGAGACTCGAGTTTGTAAACTCCACAAATCATTATATGGTTTCAAACAAGCTTCACGACAATGGTTCATCAAGCTTTCCACCGCTCTAAAGCAAGCCAATTTTATGCAATCAAAGGTGGACTATTTTTTGTTTGTCCGATCACAGAATGGTAAATTCATCGTCCTTCTTATATATGTAGATGATGTCATCATTACAGGGAACGACTTACAAGAAATCAGACATGTCAAAATATTCTTGAAGAACCAATTCAAATTAAAGGACCTTGGACAATTGAAATATTTCCTTGGTATTGAGGTTGCGCGATCCCAAAAGGGTATTGTGTTTTCACAGCGAAAGTATGCTCTTGAAATACTCGAGGATGTTGGGTACCTCGGTGCAAAACCAGCCACTTTCCCTATGAAACAAAACTTATACATTAGCAAATCAGAGAAAGAATATGTCAGTGATCTATCATCATATCGAAGACTAGTTGGGAGATTAATCTACTTTACTATCACACGTCCGACTTGACATATGCAGTTCATGTCTTAAGTCAATTTATGGACAAACCACGAGTGTCACATTTAGAAGCAGCCCATCGCATTCTACGTTACATAAAACAAACAGCAGGACAAGCAATTTTCCTCTGAGTAGAAAGCTCAACCCAACTAAATATCTTTTGTGATGCAGATTAGGCTAAATATCATGACACTCGAAGATCAATTACTGGGTATTGTATTTTCCTTGGGAGTTCATTAATTTCTTGGAAAACCAAGAAACATACCACAATATCACGCTCTAGTGCAGAAGTTGAATATCGGTCCATGAACACTACCTGCTGCGAGATTATTTGGTTAAGAACAATTCTGCAAGATTTGGGAATCATGCATTCACATCCTGTCAATTTATTTTGTGATAACCAAGCAGCATTTCACATCGTCTCGAACCCGGTATACCATGAGCGAACAAAGCACGTCGAGATTGATTGTCATTTAATACAGGAGAAGGTTTAAAAAGGAATAATAAAGTTGACTCATGTGTCTACTTTAGAACAGCCAGCGGATGTTTTCACAAAACCACTAAACTCTTCTCAGTTATCGATAATATTCAGCAAGTTAGAAATTATTAACATACATTCCAAACTTGAGGGGGAATGTTAGGAGTTATGATAGGAAATAATTTATTCCTTAAAATTAGAGTTATGATAGGAAATAATTTATTCCTGTAAATAAATTATTTTCTTAGAATTAATGAGATATTTGTTTTTCTTATTTTACGTTATTTCTCATATCTCCTAATAATTAATATGAATTAATTATTTTAGATATCAGGTGTTATACTCTTCCTTTCATATCATTTCCTTTTATTATTTTTCTATTACAAGATTTTTGTAAGGGTTATTTATAACCCCTTTCATATTAATTAAATATTGAGTATTCCACCACATTATTCTGAATTTTAACAAAAGCTAAATTCTAGATTGAACAAATCCTTTCAATAAAAGATTTAAACACCCTCAGGAAGTAGTATTTAAGAATTTAATAAAACTTCTGGTTCACGTCCAAATAATTTTTTTTTTTATTTCAAATCAGATTAAAGCTACATATTAATAGTTTGTTTTTCAAAATTTATCACTTATATAATTTACTTAATCCTTTATCTATAAAATTCACTAAATACAAATTTAGATAAATACTAAATGCTTCCAAACAGCTCATAGAAAGAGACCCAATTAAAGGAGCGATTATTTCGTGCGGAGGGCGCGCAGCTCTCCGATCATCGCGGCTGTGAACATACAGCCGCGATGTGAATAATTAGACCAATTAAAGAGGCCTCGAGCAGAAAAAGAGGGGAAAGCGCTTGCAAGAAGACCGACCTCAGTGACAGCGTCCTTAGCTGGTTTAGCAATCTCCTTCACAAGGCACTCCCCTATGGGCCCCTTATTATCCTTCAATATCGCCGCCGCGCGATGCAACAGCTCCGCCCTCTTCCACAGAGGCGTCCTCGCCCAAGCCTTCTGTGCCGCCTTAGCCCCCTCGATCACCTTGTTCACCTCCTCCTGCGTGCATGCTTCCCCGATTCCCCAATTTCCACCAAAAACAAATCAAAACCCCCGAATCCAAAACCCCCAAATCCCAATCGGAGCTCCGATTCTTACCTTGGACCTTGTATTCGGGCTTCCGTGTAGTCGGATTAATGATCGGAACTGATTTCCCGGAGCTGGATTTCCGCCACTCCCCCTCTGCATAGTACTTGTACACCTCCTCCTCAATAATCTCACTGAAGATCCCCGCACCCGCCATCACTCCCGCAATCTTCAACTGCGGGTCGCCCTCCGACGAAACAAACACCGCCTCTTTATCGCCTCCGGTGACTTCAAGTCTTCTCAGAGAGCATAGATACAGAGCAGTAAGATCGTGAGAATGGAGAGACGATGCATTTTATATGGCGAAGATGAGAGCCACGAGTTGGAAACACTGTGGATAGGCTGCGCCGCGCGGCGCGGTAGATGCGAGTGAACCCACACGAGAACGAAAACAACCCTTCAAAATGCAAATCTCACAGAATATGACGAATATTCGGAAGTTATTAGAAATATGACTGCCAACCGTTTGTTTCTTTAAATATATTTGAAAATTTATTATTATAGTATACTCGTAAAAATAATACAAGATAAAATAGGAGGATTTGCATGCATAACACTTGAAATTTGTGATATTACATATCCTTACACTCAAGCTTCAATATTTACATTATACTCAAATAATTCCTATGTAATTACATACCTAATTACTAACTTCAATTTGTACATGCCTTACACTTTACAATGGATGAAAAAGTTGTATTTCATTTAAAAAAATGTAAATTTTGATATTTTGATGTGATATGAAATATTTGTGTGGTATTAATCATGGACAAAAATCATTTGGTCATATTCTATTGACTAGTTTTAGTAGCATTGTAGATCGTAGATTATGATAATCTTGAATGATGGAATCATATGATCTTGATCGTGTTTCTCATTATTCCCCAAACCATTTACACTAAACAAGATAGTTTTTAATTTATAACTTAGATTGATGTTGCTTTATGCAAACAATTAGTGGCTCAAAGACTTAGGTTTAATTAAGAAAAAAAATTTCTCTTATTTCCAAGAAGGGTAATTAATCATAGAGACTCGTGCCTATGACAATTATTGGAGAACACACAATCCAATCATGATCCTAATGGTGACATTTTACTGCATATATAATGTGCCTCCATGGTTGCACTTAAAAAAAGTTACATGCAATGATGTGACTCATGTCCTCTGTTTGTTATGGTTTAGCCACAAAATGTTTTCATGTCTACTGAAGAAAAAAATAAGTTTTTTGTTGTGAATCTTAACTCATTCTTTCCATCTCAATTTGGTCATAAAATACATACTTGATTCGTTATTTTTTAAGCTATTTATTATAAATATTCGAAGATAAATTTGAATTAACATCCAGTGTCACGATCATGAATAAAGTATCTCCACTTTATTTACTTAAAAATATTTTATCCACAATTAACATTGTTTGACATGCACTCTTAAGGCTTTGAATATAAATACCTCAGGAAAACTAAGAAAGCTTAAAATATCCTTTATCGTGAAATTGAAGATCAATACTTACCCTTAAATATTGACCATAAAGTATATTTAGATAAAATGGTAACTTCTAAAAGAATGCTTCAAGGGTCCCTCTAATATAGATGATAGCTTATTCATGACATTATAAAATTTGTAATATTATAAATTAATGTCATAACTTCTCCTTGCATATGCTATAGTCATATTTTTCCTTATGTTAAGTTTAGTTTCATTGAGCTTCTTATTGATTATATATCCATTGAGTCGTGGTTAAGTTTATTAGTGATCTATTGATCCAACATCAAAAGTACAAATGTGTTGTAAATCATGACTTTTTATTTTGAGTATGTTTAAGTTTTTCAACCTCACTAATGGCAAGTTCTATGAGTACTTCTTAAGTGCAATGGATATATCATAATCTTTAATCAGTTTTTTTTATATTGAATTGAAATTTCTTTATCAATATATATAAATGTTAGTCTCTGTTAACTCATCCTTGCTCTCAAATTCTTGCTTAACTTCAAATAAAATGAGAAAAAATTGATCATGGGCCCCACTATAATAACAATCATTTAATTAGTGGCTTTTTTAAAGCATTAATCCTTGCAAAGTACGAGTTATTCATGTGTTTTATATCACGAATAATCACTTTTAGACCCAAAATGAATGAAGAATTTGAAAACCTCACATGTACAATATTTCTAATAAGCTAAAAGCTTGGATTGTGACCTCTAGTAGACGTTTTAGAATTAAAACTTTCATGAAGTCACTATTATGTACAACATAGATGATGGTCAACTAAGAATGTTGGAAGTCACTGGTTTGTGGATGATAGCTAGGTAATTTTCTTATAAGAAAATGATCAGCATATAGAAAGATGTTCGTTAGATGTGGATGAAAAATTAATGTTGATTTAATGGCATTGGGAAATAATCATTTGAGAACATCAAAATAATTCATATTAATAAAAATAATAAATAATGGTTGGTTGACTTGAGTGGCATCTTTATAGTAGGAAAGATCGTGCAATTAAGAAGACGTGCACTTGCCAAATGTCACGAGTTGAAAATTGTTGTGCATTAGCCATTAGTAGAAGTTGGGCGATATTAGAGATATCAATATTTAAGAGGTGTTGAATAGTTTTGGTTATTCTTTTGCAAAAGGGTATGAGCAATTTAAGAAGATGTATTTGTCAAATATTAGTTATCATTATGATTTAATCAAAACTGAATAAAAATATTAAACTTTTGGCAAATGTGCGATAACAGTTTCTTTTTCTATTAATAGGAGGATATGATAATACATATTAATGGTTGATGGATGTAAGACATTAATCATCAACAAAAATATAATTTTGATTGTTATGGTTGGCTTAGTTTTTCACTTGATAAAAAGTGGAGATTTAAGAAAATATGTACTTAATTTTGATGGTGGACAAAATGTGAGGCATAAGTGGTGGTTTGATGCAAAATCTTGGTTTATGTTAGATATTAAGAAATGACTAATAGAAAATACTAGAAGTAGGGTGATAATGAGTGATTGCTTTGGTTGTTATTTTGATAAGATGGTCAAAAAAGAAAATGAAAAGATGAATCTTAGTAGCTAACAAATGATGATGCTAGCAACAATAGGTGATGTTTAAAAATTGTTGCAAGCGAAGGAGTGACAATGGATGTTGATGTCAATCGTTGGTCAATATTGGGTGATGGACTACATTGGGGATTAGCATTAGTTGATGACTGGCATGGGACAATGGGTAGTCACGAACTTTATAGCTTATTCATTATTAGCATTTCACAACATATTGCAATATTGCCAAAACTTCAAAATTCTCCATGATCTTTTTCAAATTAAGTTTTTATTTGAGTCTTAGTTTTATTATACTTTTTTTATTTCCTTAATTTCATTCACATCAAAATTAAATCTTCATTTCTTTTGGTTTAAATTATTTTGAATTATAAAACAAATACTATAAAAATAAATTTAAAATATCAAATAAATAAATTTATTAAATTATAGTTCAACTTACAACATGTCAATTTGAAAGTGTCTTAATGGTGGAAATTATTGCATGCTAAAATATTCATAATTAAATAAATAGTTTAGATCATATTGCATATAAATTTTACACACAAAAACTACCCACAAAGTGCATGAGATAATATATAATATTTTATGTAAAAAATGATAAGAAAAAAGCCTTGGTTCTTTGCCTAAGTGAAACAATATTATCATACATGTTGAAATTTACATTGATTTACCTTAAATCTATTACTAAAGAAGCTAGGATTAAAATATATGAGCAAAAGGAGTTGTCATCTATGATGGTTTTTTGGAATGATTGTGGTGGTTATGGGTAGTTGGTGGATTGCAACGAATAGTAATGCTAGTCTATGATAGAGATAGTGAGTAGTGTCAAAGAATGAATGATAACTAATACAGTAGGCCCGACAAAGAAAATCAGTAGACAAATCAAGAATTTTTTTTAATAGAGACAAATAAATTAATCTTTGATTAAATTGAATGTTTATTATATAAAACTTCAAAATAGGGTACATTAATACATATCAATTATATACATAATAAATTAGGAGTTCAGTGGTAGTCGATAATTGGTGATGACGGTCATCAATATTGACTAACAATAATTAATAAATGAGTTGTGATGTTTGCTGGAATAAACTGAAAACTAATAATGATGAGGGTCATTAACTAGTGGATTATATGATTGGTGTTGATCATGTAAAAGATTCTAAATACCATATTCGATTTACAAAATTAATTTTTAAATCGATTAGCGGAAACGAGATAGGATCATACATACCTCCAACCATAACTTAAACGAACATAGTCGACACTCACAACTCACACGACAAATTTTCTATTATAGATCTTCTAAGCTTTTCTCACTCACAACCCGATGGTGCAAATAAAATGAAGAGGAGCAAGCTTAAGGACCAAAACAGCAAACATCACATCTAATTTATAGTACTCTGCCCATCACAGAGTTCAATGGATGGGACCACCTTATGGAATGTTACTAAATTCATGTGTTGAACTTAGACACTATATGAACCACATTCTGAAAATTATTTCTCTTAAAAACACCAAAGAATTCCAACGGTTATTGAAATTAATTTGAGAATTTCATTGGGTATTGAAATTAATTTGGGAATTC